CCAGCTCTCGGGGAGCTCTAGACTGATGGGGAGCCCTCGCTTAGTGGTGTGAGATGCCACCTTGGACTCAGGCTGCTCCAGGCTACAGAGGGACACAGTCCTGTCCTCGAGATTCTCTGACAATGGGGAGACTCAGCCCAGCAGTGCTGAGTCTGCCTCTGTGGCAGACAGGATCTCCCACTTGAAGCCCAGCGTCTGAGAGGGAGGAGGTGTGAGGGCGCCCAGCTCTGAGCCCCCTGAGCTGCTCTTTCAGCCTCAGCCTGAAGCCCACAGAGGCCCCTGAACTGGATGAGGATGAGGGTTTCAGCGACTGGTCCCAGAAGCCAGAGCAGCGGCAGCAGCACTTGGGAGCCGGGGAGACCTCGGACGGCGGAGAGTCCCCTCAGGGCAAGAGTCCGGAGGGGGAGCAGGAGGAAGACAGGCAAGTGGGGGTCCCCTCCCCAGCCAGCCCCTCCAAATGCCCCCGTGGCTGTGAGAGGGGGAGAAGGGAGGAAGAGGACAAGACTGCAGGGCGGCCGGCAAGGGGGCTGCGGGGAGGGAGGGGAGGAAATCTCATTCCTGGGCTCCCCTGGGCCCCTGGGCCCCATCCAGACCAGCTGTGGCCTCAGGCCGGGGTGTTGCCACATCAGCACACATCTGCAGCCCACTTACGTAATGGAGGCTCTGCGCCCCCGCCGCCCGCCCTCCCTTCCTCCCTCGGGGCTGGCTGATCTCCATTCCCACGGAGGGGAGCAGGTATTTCCAGATGTGCGGCCTTCGAGCCGGCCTTGGGGGGACAAGCTTTCCAGATGTGCAGACGTGTTTGCTGGTCTGAACCCGGGTAGGGTGGGAGCCGAAGCGCCCCTGGGTCCCAGGGATGGGGGACTGCTCCCGGAGCCTCACCCCACCCCAAGTCGGGAGCTCCGAGTTGCTCTCTGCACCCTGCAGGCCGTGCCTGAGGCCCCACTGTGGTCAGGGTCCTCGCTCTGCTCTGGAGCTCCTTGCCCCAAGCTCCACCAGACTGGGGTCTCTCCCCTCTCTGGGCCACCTCCTGGCCCCTTTGAGGTCCCTAAGCAGCCTTGAGCTCTCGCTCAGACCTCTCCTATGGCTTAATCACCTCTTTTCCATCCTACAAGCAGGCTCCCACACCCCGGGATCCAGCTGCCTAGCTGGGGCCTGGTCCTGGCTTGGCCTCTGCCCACCACCCTCTCCAGGACTCAGTTTCCCCATCTGCCTTTGGGAGTCGCTGCACACTCTGCATTTCTGAGCCAGGGCTGGGGTCAGCAGGGGTGGGCACAGCCCCACCGGCCCCTGCTCCTTTCTCCCCAGCAGGCTGCAGGCCATGCCATCCAACAGCAGGGGGCACCTCGGCTCCATGGTTGAATCCTCCCGCTCTGAGCAGGCCCCCTCCTCGCCCCCCGCACCTGCCTGGCTGCACACCCTCACCACTGAATGGGCTTCTGTGTGTCTGCTGCTGGCTCAGACCCCGGCCCACCTTGGGCGGTGGGTCTGGGTCTTGGCTGGCACGAACACCAAGAAGCCTGAAATCATGGAAAATGCGAGAATTTCCCATCATCTTCTCCAGGTTCAGTCCCGCTCAAGTGCAGAGCCGTGTGGCTGCCAGCGGGCTGTCTCCCCTCCCTCGTGCCAGCACCATGAGCCCCTCTTCTTGCGGATGCGGTCCTAGCCATGACCCCTGCCCTTCCCTGTCCTCCACCTGACCAGCCCCAAAATCCCCCACAGACCCCACCTCACTCCCGCTTGCCCCTACATGGAGCAGGGCCGGAGCAGGCTGCCCAGGGAGGACACAGACCAGCAGCACGAGAGGCTGGGGCTCCTCCAGAGAGCCTGGAGACTGGGCTAGCCTCAGCGTGAGGGTGGCCTTCTGTCAAGAGAAGCCTGTCCAGTGGGGATGGAGCAGTGGGTGCTGTTCTCCAAGGGGCCCTGTACACAGAGGGCCAGCTCTAAGTCCTTGGGCCTGCCTCCCCAAATAAGCTGGGGTCTTGGGCTTCCTCGGCACTCAATGGGTCTGACCGCCCCCCTCTTACAGATGGGGAAACTGAGGATTGGAAACCGGAAGGGACTCGAACCAAGCAATTGGATGACCTTTGATCCGATTGACTCCCTCTTCCTCCCCACAGGTCCCTCCAGCATGCCCATGGGCACGAGGACAGTGATGAGCTGAGCCAAGCCGGAGTCTGCCTGGAGGAGTTGCATCTGAGCCCCAGCTCAGAGCCCCAGGAGGAGACAGAGCCCAGGGGCCCAGAGGGGACTGTCCAGGGCAGCCAGGTGCTGGCAGAGGCTGAGGAAGCAGATGAGCAGGTGACGGGAGCTCCCCTGGGTGTCGGGGCACACTCCAAGCCCTGGGCTGGATCTGTCTCTGCTGCCCACATGCTCTGTGGGCCTCGTGGGACCAGCCCAGAGGGAGCCAGCTCCCCTACCCATAAACTCTGTAGCCCCCACATTTTCAGAGGGTGGTGGGGCTCAGTGACCCTGAGTGATGGAATGACGACTCCCCGGACCCATCAGTGCCTGCTGCAGACAATTCCAGAATCAGAGCACGTCAGGGCTGGAGAGGACCTAAGGCCCAGGGAGGGGAAGGTGCTCCCACAGGTCCTGGGTGGGGCAGGAGGGAAGCAAAGGGGATGCTCATCGAGGTCCCATAACCTCAGATGTTCTGTTCCCAGCACGAGAAACACCAGCAGCCCAGGACACCCAGCCCCTTGGTCCTGGAGGGGAGTACGGAACAGGGCTCACCTCCCCTGAGCCCCAGCACCAAAGTAGGTCAAGCCCGCAAGCCTGCCGCCTCTTTCTCTCTCCCTGACTCAGCAGCAAACGACAGCCCCAGAGAGGCAGCCACATGTAGCTCCTGCTCTCTCTCTGCTATTCCCCCATGCCCCCCACTCAGCAAACCCTTGAGAAATAAATAAACGGGTGATTGGATTGGTGGATGGGAGCAGCTAGGGGGATGGAGAGTGGGCCTTGCTCTGGCTTCGAAGGGTCACTGCTCTGCCCGCCCTCCACAGCTCAGCGACAGAACCGAGTCCCTGAACCGCTCCATCAAGAAGAGGTATGTCTGACTGCTTTCCAGGCTAGGACAACGGGTTCTCCAAGAGGGGGTTGAAGAGAGGGCCCAGGAATGAGATATGGGGGCTTGAGAGAGCTCTGGCGGGGGTGCTCAGAGTGGGATGTAGAAGCCGAGAGAGGGGGCATGAGGCGTGACCCTTCTCCTATCCTTCAGTAACAGTGTGAAGAAGTCCCAGCCAGCCCTGCCCATCTCCAAGATTGATGAGCGTCTGGAGCAGTACACTCAGGCCATCGAGGTATGATCAGACTCCTCCTCTTCTGCTGGATCCGTCCTTCATTCATGCACCCATTTTTCCATCCAATCAACTTCCTTCCATCTACCCAATGCCCCTGATCCAGCCAACTCTCTTCCATCCAACCAATACTCCTCCATCTAATCCACATTCCTCCATCTAATCCACACTCCTCTATCCAACCATCACCCCACCATCCAATTAACACGACCCCGTCCAACCAACACCACTCCATCCAACCAATGTCCCTCCATCCAACCAATGTTCCTCCATCCAATCAACACCCCTCTATCCAACCAACACTCCTCTCTCCAACCATCACTCCTCCATCAATCAACACCACTCCATCCAACCAACACCTCTCCGTTCAACCACCACTCCATCCAAACGATGTCCCTCCATTCAACCAACATTCCTCCATCCAACCAACACACCACCATCCAAACTGCACTCCTACATCCAACCAACACCACTTGATTCAACCACCACCACTCCATCCAAACAATGTCCCTCCATTCAACCAACACTCCTCCATTCAACAAATACCCCTCCATGCAATCAACACACCGCCGTCCCACCAACACCCATCCATCCAGCCAACACCACTCCATCCAATCAGTATTCCTCCATTCAACCAACACTCTTTCATATAACCAATCCTCCTCCATCTAACCAACCTTTTTTCATCCAACCAATACCCCTCTATTCAACCAACAACCTCCATCTAACCAATATCCCTCCATCCAGCCAACACTCCTCCATCCAACACTCCTCTGTCCAACCAAAGTCCCTCCATCTAACACCCCTTTATGAAACCAACACTTCTCCACCCAATCAATGTCTCTCCTTCCAACCAACACTCTTCCATCCAACCAATACTCCTCCGTCCAACCAACACCCTCTATCCACCAACGCACCCTCATTCAACCAATGTCCTTCCATCTAATCAACACCCCTCCATTTGACCAACACTCCTCTATTCAACCAGTGTTCCTCCATACAACCAAATCCCCTCATTTCAACAACTCCCCACCATACAACCAACACCCTTCCATCTAACCAATACCTTTCCATGCAACCATCACTCCTCCATCCAGCCAATGCCCTTCCATGCAACCCATGATCTTATAGCCCTATGCCACGGGCAGCATGAGGATAGCCCCACATCTGTCTCATATCCCATCATATCAACTGTGCTCTCCAGAACAAGGGGGTATTTCACAAGTACACCAAACAGAGAAATGCACACCTTTTCAGAGGGCCTTGCTCCAGCCCTGAGTTGTGACAGCACTCCTGGGGAAATGTGCAGATCCAGAGGATATTGTCTGCATGCTGGAGGGTCTCCCCAGACCTCTCTGACATGTCCCATGTGGCTGTCCCCTAAAGCAGTCCTGGGCTCTGTCTCCTCTGCAGACTGGCCGGACCCCCAAGCTAGCCCGCCAGCCCTCCATTGAGCTGCCCAGCATGGCTGTGGCAAGCACCAAGAGCCGGTGGGAGACGGGAGAGGTGCAAGCTCAGTCCGCTACCAAGGCCCCCTCCTGCAAGGTAGGATCCCCTGCTTGGTAAGGCAAGTGGGAGACTGTCCAGGCTGAAGGGTGGGTGGACGGCACTGGGGCATCTGAGGGAGCTGAGGTTCACTAGGCTGGCCTTCGGTGTGGAAGGCTGTGTGGAGAAGGCTGCCACCTTCCCTTTCCTGCCTCTTCCCCTGGGCTCTCATGCAAGGAAGCAGGTGGGTAGGCCTGGGGCCCCTGGCCAGGTGAGGCCAGGCTGGAGAGAAGGGTTTTGAGACCCCTTGTCAGAGGTCTGCACCTGTGATGCCTCCTTCCTTCTTCCCCCAGGATATTGTAGCTGGAGACATGAGCAAGAAGAGCCTCTGGGAGCAGAAAGGAGGCGCCAAGACCTCATCAACAATTAAGGTAGAGTCTAAGTAGGCTTGATGCGGGGAGGGCGGGTCCAGCAGGTGAGAGCCAAGAGGGGCTGTCCTCAGAGCATCTGGAGGGCTTCCCAGAGGCAGCATGATCTTCCTACTGCTGCTCTCACCTTCACACTTGGTCTCCTTCCACGACAGAGCACCCCATCTGGGAAGAGATACAAGTTTGTGGCCACCGGACATGGAAAGTACGAGAAGGTGCTCGTAGACGAGGGCTCGGCGCCCTAGGCCCCCTTCTCGGTGAGTCCAGGGCAACGGCTGGAGCATGATGCATTGTGCCTGAAATGCGCCATTCTGGGAGTGTGGCGGGGTGGACAGGGCCTACTTGTCCATGTCACAGGCTGTCAGGGCAGCCTGAGAGGGCCGGATGCCCAGTCTCGGAGCCAGCCAGAACCCAGCCTCCACTCGGTCTCCCAGCCCCTGCAGACTCGCGCCCCCCACCCCCTTACAGGGGACGTGGAAGCTTTGTCCCTTTCCCCAGCTTCACCCTGCTCAGCCATTCTCTGCGGGGAAGCTCAAACCTCCCTTCTTCCCAGACTCGTTAGGCAGTGAGGATGTCCTGGCCCCTGCAGGGCTAACATTGGAGGAAGTGGATGGGATGGAGCCCGGGGAGCTCGAGTCCCCTCCCGGGGGTGAGCTGAGGGCCTGAAAGGGACTAGAACCTCGGTCTCACCCTCCTGCCCCAGAGGGCCCGCTCCCATTTCCATCGCCCTGCCCTCGCCTGGTGAGGAGTCAGACAGGGACCCGCTGCCGTGGTTAGACACACTTTTATTAGTGGCCTGGGTCCCAGGCTCCATTTTTAGCACCGTTACATCCTGGCCCCTTTCCAACTGCTGCTGCCCCCCTGAGTCCTGCTCTCAGGGGCTGGAGCCCGAGGTTTCCCCAAGGCCCTCCATGTCCTTTCCCATTGCTGCTGGCCCCCATCAGAGCCCTGGCACTTGCCCTGAGTCAGACCCCGGCTCACTGCAGCCTGGGGGCCCCCAAAGCAGCATGAGGCCTGGGGTACCATTCACTGCCCCTAGCTGGGCCATTACCCCTCCTCACCCACTTGGCTGGGCTGTTCTCCGAGCCCCAGTACTGAGGACACCACCCCATCCAGCCATCGAAGCCTGGTCCTGAGCGATGCCGAGGCCTTGCCCCTCTCTCCCGTCAGTGAGCTGCCCTCAAGCTCTGCCCCCAGGTGCGGGAAGCAGAGGTGGGCAGCTAAGGGACAGGGGTGCAGGACAAACTCGCACTGGGCCCGGGGCCTGGCTCCCCGCACCTGCCAGGGCTCCATTGTCTGGAAGCATGGCAAGCAGACCGCTGACGCAGCTAATAGTGCGGACAGCAAACATAAACCCGGCCCCTAATCTTTCACAGCAAAGGGATGGGGACCACAGAGCCTGGCCCTAGAATCCTCCCCGTCCTACCCAGCCTCTGAGCTCATCACCCAGAGCAACCAGGGACTGAGCCCAGCCCTCCCCGCTCCCCACCAGCAGCCCTCGTGGGCTCCGGGCTTCCCTGGAGACCCAGGCAGGCCCTCTGTGCAGCGTGCAGGCCGGAGCCAGGGCCTGCTGCTGATCGCCTCCCTGCCCCTCCTTGCCCCAAGCCCCACGTGGAGACATGGGTCAGCCCCGCCGTGCGAGGTCGATGATCCAATTCCCTGCCTCATAGCAGATGGATGCTTTCCGTCTCACCCACAGTTTCACCAGAAAGCTCCCACACTCTACCCAATGCAGACCCCTTCTCTGACCCCTCCACACCATTGAAACCTGCCTCCTTCTTCCCCCCGCCTTCTCCTGGCCTCAGGCCACCTCCCACCATGGTCCTTCACCCTCCCATCCACCCAGCCTGCCCTTCCTGACCACCAGGCACCCCCAGGCTCCCTCAGCACCCACCCGGCCCTGGTGCCCTCCTCAGTGGCCACAGCTTCCCAGCTGGACCGTCACCCCGTCTTCTATTCACCCCCTGGTCCTGGGCCCTGGGGCCATCCTGGCCCTTCACTGGATCCTCCAGCCAGCCGCCGTCCTGTTGAAGTTCCTGGGCTGGGGGCTCAGCTCCAGGACAGGGTGGATCGTGGGAGGGGGCCGGGCGGCCACCTCCTGCAGCTTCCGGGCGTTGAAGCGAGGCCGATATAGGAAGGGCAGGCGGCTGAGGCCAGCCAGGGTGCCAGCCCCGTCCCTGGGCATTGCCGGGCTGCCACGAGACTCGGCCACTGACGTGCGGTACAGCACTGCGTCCCACATCCTGGAGGCCCGAGAGGAGGGGGGCCGGGGCGCTGGGCTGGTGGGGACTGTCACCTCCTGCTCTGCACGCTCTGGGCTTGGCTCTGGCCCCGGGAACGGGGAATCCTCCTCCATCAGCTGCTTCTTGAGGCGCGTCCAGCCGCTGAGCCGGGGCTTGGGTGCGACTTTGGGGACAGGGCATGGGTGGGGACCTGCTGGTGGGGCAGGGGACAAGGCCCCGTGGGGGCTGGAGATCTGCTCAACCACAGCAGTAGGGCCAGCTGTGGGGGGCTCCTCCATGCACTCAGCCTCAGGGGCCACAGAGGCCGGCGTGTAAGGCGAGGGTCCCGGCCAGCGGTGGGTGGGGGCTATGGGCACCACAACCCAGGTGCTGGGCTCTCTGGGCACTGAGGCCTGGATGCCAGGGGGCGGCCTGGGCATGGGGGGCACCTCAGGCCAGGAACTGGCAGCCTGGGCCCCAGCGGGCAGTGGGTGGATGTGGGCCACCGGGATCAGGGGCTGAGCCCCGGGAAGGCACCACACTGTATCTTGGTCCTGGCTGCCAGGCTCCCCATCCGGGGCCGTCCGGTGGGGATCAGGGATCCCAGCCTGCGGGGACGGTGACAGCCGGATGTGTACCTGGCTGATGTGGGTGTCCCCCACTACAGGTGCCGAGACTTGGGCAAAGCCACTGGGGGCCCTGGGGGGTTCTGGGGCCGGGGCTACGAGCTGGGGCCCCGTGGCCTTGAAGTGAGCAGCCAGGCTCCTGCGCTGGGTGAGGCTGAAGGAGAACATGGATTTCTGTGGAGGCGATGCCACATGGTGGATGACGGGGGTGTGGGGGCTGCGGGGCAGCGCGGCCACCACGCGCGGGGCCTCGGCAGGGCGCAGGGCCCCAGCAGGGCGCGGGGCCTCAGCTTGGAGCAGGGCCTCAGCAGGGCGCGGGGCTGTGGGCTCCTGGTCGTGGCTGGCCTCACTCACAGGGGATAGGGAGGTGCGGAAAGCCCCAGGCGGGCCAGGGGGCCCGCCCCCGGTCATCTTCTTCCTGGCTGCCTTCCTCAGAAGTTTCTGCAGACGTAGGTTGTCCTTCCCCGGCTTGGGCAGGAGTGGCGGTGGGGGTCTGGAGGGCCCCTGGGGGCACGGGCCAGCCACCTCAGGGGCCATCGAGGCAGCTGAGATGAGCATTGCTGCACCCTGGGGTGGGGAGGGACAGCCGTCAGGCCAGCCCTCCTCACGTCTCCTCCCCCTCCCTGTGAGGACACACAGTCCCCCTGTGGTGCAGGAGGACCCAAGGCCCAGGGGCGACACAGCCTGACCATCAGAAGTTCTGCTTCCCAGGTGCCTTCTAGGCAGGTCTGTCTGCATCAGCATCTCCTTGGGGAGGCTCCGCCATCACCCTGGTTTGGGAATGAGCCCACAGGGCCCGAGTCGTTCGGTGGGTGATGGACAAGGGCTGGAACCTGGCTCCAGGCACCGCCCGTGTGCACAGCCTGGGCCGGGAGACCCACAGGCAAGCTCCAAGTGGGAGGCACGTGCTGGGCGGGCCGCCCACGGGGGCAGGAAGAGCGCCTGCCCGCTAACGCGTGAGGCGCGCCACGCCGTCGCCGGTCTGACCACAGGCGCGTCCGCTGCAAGCCAGCGGTGAGGGTGGCGGCCAGAGACTCTGGGAAGCCGAGGCTGCATCATCAGAGGTAGATTTGCCGGGAGGTGGGAGCAATTTTCGCTGAGCTACGCTAAATGGGACGTTCCCGCAGACATCTCGGCTGGGGTGGTCCTGGCCAAGCCGCCCGCCCTGGTTTCTGGGCGCCACGTGCTTGCAAGGACGTTGACAAATGGCGTCTGGTCCAAGCCAGAGGCCGGCCGGTTTGGGGGAGGAGGGAGGCCTGGGGGCTGCCGCCCCTGGGGGCCGGCTCTGTCAGGCAGGAGCAGATCTGCCTGGGGGGCCAGGCGTCTGCTGGGGGCTCACACTCAGTTGCTGCCCGCCTCTGGGGCCCCAGGACCCCAGGAATCAGGGAACAACAGGTCTAGCTCTGCGGGACTGCCAGGCTAGCAGGCGAACAGGGGGTGGACGGCATTCCCTCCTCCTCGAGCTCCAAGCAGGGCCCAGGACCCCAGAGCTCGGCGGCAGGAAGCAGGCTTCCCAGTGGAGGCGGACACAGGGTTTCGGTGGCTGGAGAAGGGAGGCTGCTCCTGGTGGTGGGAGGGGTGCGTGAAGGCAGCAGGGCCGTGGCCCCTCCTTGGACTGCAGCCTCACGCTCCCCACCCCGTGTCTGTGTTTCAGCTTTCCTGAGGCTGCAGGTGCAGGTTGGAGACTCTGTGCTCCCAGGGGAGAGTCCAGCCAGATGCCCGCCACGGCCCTGCTGAAGAAGCTGCTTCCCATTGCCCGCTTGGCCTGCCCACGCCCCTCCACCACACACCACCCACCACCATCACTACCTGTTTGCTCCTGGACCCTCCAACGTCTCTCCCCTCCCACTCTCTGACCACTCCCACCCCCTGGCTCTGCCTCTTACAGCTCAGGCTGATGGCTGGCTTCAAGGGCCCCCTCCAGAGAGGCTGAGAGCTCCCAAGGCAGTTGCAGCCTGTGCGGAGAGAGGGCACCTGTGGGGGACTTCCAGGTCACGAGCCACTGACACCTGAGCTGGGTGCCCAGGCCCTGCATCCCTCCCTGCACCCTGCTTGCAGACCCCTCCATTTTGTGCAATAAAGCTCCTGGTGTGTCCCCATGTGCTGGCTTTCTGGTGCTCACTAACTGGGGGAGGGACAAGGAAGCAGGTTGGAAAGGCCATCCCATCCTGCACAGCGGTGGGACCCAGGCCTCTGGCCTCTGGATCTAGATACTCTGTGTTCTGTTCTGTTCTGTGGGCTTCTGCAGTGTTAGACTCTGGGATCTGAGGTGTTTGGTGGCCTAAGTCAGGGTGCACGTGATGGGTGGGATCCAGTCCTCCTCTTCTAGGACGTCTGGGATGCTTCCCCCCTTGACTGGCCCGATAAAAACTTTACAGCACCTGAACCACTGTGCACTTCAGGTCTGTGCCCCTAGACTGAGCATACCCTGAGGACAAGACCCACCTTGGGGTCATCCCCCATCCAAGCACCGAGGAGGGGTTCGGTGAATGTTTAGTGGTTGGACAGGTGAGTGGATGATGAATGATAGATGAATGGATGGGTTGATGGATAGATGATGGATAGATAGATGATGAGTGACGGGTGTTTGGTGGATGATAGATGGGTGGATGGATGGATGGGTGGATGGGTAGGTGGGTGGGTGATGGATGAATGACAGATGAATGGATGATAAATGGATAGATGGAGAGAGGGAGGGATGGATGAATGGGTGGATGAATGAATGGATGTATGGTTGGGTAGATGGATGGCCTGATGTATAAATAGAAAGACAAGTGAGTGAATCATTGGGTGATGGATGGATAGATAAAGAATAGATGAATGGGTGGATGGGTGGATCTACAGACAGAATGAGAGGTAGATATGCAGAAAAATAGTTGTGCAGAGAGTGGACGGGAGAAGAGGTGTAGAGGGAGTCAGATGAATGCGTGCTGCACAGGACAGCAGGTGGGTGGCTGGATGGGTAGGTGGATACATGAGTGGATAGACGGATGCATGGATGAATGGATGGTGCAACGAAGGGAGGGAGATAGTAAATTTGAGAATGGATGTATGAAAATGAATGGATGAGTGTGAAGTGGGAGACAGAGTGGGGGCTGTCCTCCCAAGCCCTCCCCCGCTCCCTGGTTCTAAACTCAGGTCCGACATTGAGCCCTGCTGCCCTCGGTGTCTGGGGAGCCTTTGAAGAGCAGGACCCCTGGACCTTTGGCATTCTAGGCCTGGTTCTACTCAGAGCCTCCATTTTCTGATGTCTTCATGGTCCAATCTGCCTGTCTCCCACTGGACAGAGTAAGAATGGACAGCTCAGACGTGTTAAAACTCAACAAAGCCACGGCCACCTGTCCTCGCCCATGCCCACCTCTGAGACAGCATCCAGGGCCAGGCTCTGTCAGCCGGGGAATATCCCCCAGGGGACACGGTGCTTTCTTACTTCTCATCCAGCTAGACAGGGTGTTAGCCGAGGGCAGCAGGCAGAGGCAAGGCCCACAGTTAGGTAGCGAGCTGGGACCAGAGTGGACGGCATCGAGGGGCGAGAGGCGGCTGGGGTGGATAGGAGGCAGCCAGGCACGCTGCCCTGACCCACTCCAGCCCCTCTGGAATCCTTGGCACCCTGGTCCGGCTTTGAGGATGAGGACCCAGGGTCTGTCTCCTCTGAGTGCCGTGGTGACATGGAGCTCTCACCTTTCAGAACCTGGGGGTCAGAGCCTTCCCACCACAAGGTTGAGAGGCTCAGAGGGGCGACTGCCCAAGGGTTACCTGGTTGGGGATGCCCAGACCCCGCCCCCTGCCATCTGTCCTGCCTGCATGAGAGGCCTCACCCAACACCCCCTTGCTCCGCTGCTCCAGGCACCGAATGCCAGTCCCCCACACAGAGACAGAGCAGACCAGTGACTAGAGATCGCACAGGAGCACCCAGGCGTGTGGGGCAGCCGCCGTGTAAGGTTGGGAAAGGCTCGTCTCCCAGTGCTATGTCAGCAGGTTCTATCTGGGGCCTGGCAGAGCCCGAGCCCGAGAAACTGGGCCGACTGGGAGCTCAGGCTGGCACCAGCATGGACGCCCAGGTCAGCTCAGGTCTCCTAGGAGAGCTTCAAGGTCCCTTGGGCCCTGCCACCCCCAACCATGCACACTGGGGCCAGGACCCAGACGGAGGGGCCCCTGCCCTCCCCTGCCACCCCTGCAGACAGCTGGAGCCAAGACACTGGCGTGGGGGTGGGGGTGGGGCGCCCCTCCCTCTCACTGCCTTCTCCTTGCTCCCTGGCTCTGCTCGGCTTTGCCGACTTCTGAAGCCCACCCCTGCCACTGTCCCCTGGCCAAGGCCCTGCACCATCAGTTCTCAGACTCTTCCCGGGGGTGAGATCAGGCTCCCACCCAGCCTGGGCTAGGCCGCCCCTGTCCCTTGCCTCTACTCCAGATCTCCAGTCCCCCTCCAGCCCCCAGGGGAGGCCTCTGCCCTGCCCCTTCTCCTCCCACCCCAGCCTGGCCAGCCCAGGTGGACTGGGGTGTGGATTACCTGTTGCAGGCCCTCGGCAGCCGGTGGCCCGTCCAGCAGTGCCTGCTCAATGCTGTCCTGCTGCACTACGGGCCTGGCGTCCCTAGGGGCAGGTCGCCGATACCCAAAATAAAACCTACCCCATCCCTCTGACCTCAGCGCCCGCTCTCTGGCTCAGCCTGCTCACAGGAGAGCACCTGCCAGAGGCCGAGTCTGCTGAGCGGGCAGCCACCCTCCTCTGCTGGCCGAGCAGGGCCACTGCAGGGGCCCTGACATGTCCACCTGCAGGCGCAGCCCTGAAGAACACCCTGGGCTTGAGCAACAAGCAGCCAGCAGCTCCCGGGGGCAGGCTGTCCACAGTCTGCACGGGGCTCGTGTGCATGGGGCTTCCCAAGCCAAGCTCCAGCAAGGCCTGCAGATGAGGCCCAATGCTCCTGTCCCCGCTTGTGCACCTGTATCTGTGTGTGTGGCGGGGGGTGTCCTCAGGTCTCTTAGCAGAGCCAGAGAGAGAGGAGCCAGTCTGAGAAGGAACGTCAGCCCCCACCACGGTGTAGGACATGGGCCGGGTGGCCCCGCAGCCACTCAGGGGCCTTTTTCGGAAGTGGCTCTACAGATGACCTCACTGGCAGAAAGCTGTTCAGAGTTGGCCAAGGGAAGGGGGTGCATGTGGCCCGCAAAGCCTTGCCCATCCAAGGACCTGGACAGGCGGAGGGAAAGACTTCAGGCCAGAGAAATTCAGAGATCTGACCAGGAGAGCGAGACCCCCAGCAGCTCTGGCCTCGGGGGGATGCCCACAGCCGGGTGCTCCAGGAGAGGCATGCAGGGGCTCTGCTTCCCCTTGCGGTGTGACTGTGGGCTCGTCCCTGCCTGTCTCAGGTCCCTGTGGCCTTATCCCCAAACTGTAGGGTTTGGACAAGATGCCAACGGAAGCCTCCAGAAGCCCCTGAGGACCAGAGCAGCACAAAGCCAGGGTGGAGCTCGGGCTGGGGGTGGGGGCCTCCTGCCAGCCATCCTGATGCCCCAACTCTAAGCCTCCAGAGGGCAGGGACCTCACCCCATCCTGGGCACTGGCCCCCCAGCTGTTGCCCTGAACCAGCAGCTGCACAGACCCTGCCATCCACGCTCGTTCGGCCCCTTGCCCTGAGCCTGGGGCTGCTCTCGCCCTACTCACTGCCTCAGTTTCCCTAATCCAAGGGGCAGGGCCGTCAGAGCTGGTGGCCTCACTGGCAAGCGTGGGGACCATTGCTGTCTGCGAGTTGGATGGTGCCACCCGGAGTTCTGAGGAAAGAAAGGCCAGGCTTCACGGGTGCGCAGCAGAGCACGCTGTGGGTGGCACGCTGAGCCCTGTGGTGGGAAGACAGAGGTCTTCAGAGGCTGGACTCCCAACCAGGGAGCTGCTGGGCTGATAGCAGAGGCATGGTCCTGGCCCTGGGAGGCACCAGCAGCTGGGGGAGATGCTAGCCCCCCTGCCGTCGAACTTAGGTTATGACTTCTCTTCCCATGTATTCTGTGGCCCCCAATGGCATCCACCCGGAGACCCAGCTCTGGCTGTTAAATGGGGCTCAGATGTGATGGGGGCCCAGCCAAAGACTCACAGAGCCCTCCATTCCACGGGCTCTCCGGGACCTCAGCCCACTCCCTCTGACGGGGGAGGCAGGGCAGGACTGGGGCAATGTGTAATGGGACCTGGCTGAGTAGACACCTTTCCTGGGTGGAGTGTGCCCTCCCACAGGCTCCCCGGAGGGAAGGGGCAGCTCGGCTGGGGAAGATGGGGCCCCAGCTCTGGGGACCCCCACATCAGCCTGGCCCAAGGAGAGCCCTCGGCTGCACCCCAGGCCACCCAATACCTTCTTTCACCCTCCTCAGCCCATCAAGATGTGCCTGCTGCTGAGGCAGTAAAAATAGAGGCTGACACTTCGTGGGGGAGGAGGGCGGACCTTCCTCCTCCAGACACATCCCCCCTTGCCTCCTCGGGCCTCATCCTCTGCTATTCCTATACTTGGTAAGGGGCCTGCATGGCACAGCCCTTCCCACATGCCCAGCCACCCAGCCCCTCAGCCCTTGGCCAATGGGCTGCTGGGAAAGATCAAGTGTCACTATAACACGAGGGGGTGAGGCACAGCGGGCAGTGCCTGAGCCAGTGCTGGCCACGAGGAGCTCCAGCCCTTCTCTCCAGACTCAGCCACAGGTCGGTATGGTGGAGCAGCTGGCCCAGGCTGGTGGGGCCTGCTGGGTGCTGGCTGCTTGGCCCGGCCAGCACTTGAGGCTCATCCTGGGGTCCTCGAGGCTGAGGTTCCAGGATGCCATGCTTCCGACATCTCAGCTCTAAGCATGGCGGCCTGGAGAGCCCAGGAAGCTCCCCCCACAGGGTCCCAAGGGTCTGGCATTGAGGGATGGGGCTCTCTGAACCTCAGAACGATGCAGAAGAAGCCATTCTAAACCAGAACATGGGGGCAAGGGAGGCCCAAGAGGAGGAAGGTGGGGGTTCCCCGAAGGCGCAGGGCAAGGGGGCTGTCCCAAGTAAAGAGCGGAAGCAGGTGAAGATTTCGAGATGAGGAGGCCAGGAAGGGGCTACCCAAGCTCCAAGGGCTGCCTGCTGCGGGGGCTGCCTTTCCCTCGCTTACTCACCTCCCCACCCACCTTGGCATTTCCACGGGTGCTCCACTACGTTAAGGGGCGCAGCCACCAGCTCCTCCCAGAAGCCCGGGGGCCCTGGCCCCACGTGGCCATTGTCTCCAACGCCACCATTGGCATAGACAAAAACCAAGGCGGGCGCTTGTCTAGCTGACCCCAGGAGTGGGTCCGTAGGGAGGGCTGGCTAGGACCCAAGCAGCCTTGGAGACAGCTCCCAGAAGTCAAGGTCAGGGGTGGACAGGGCTGGGCTGAGACGGGACAGAGGGAGGAGTGGGGAGCTGGGCCTCTGTGCTGCCTGCCCAGAAGAGGTGACTCACCTCTGCCCACGGCGGGAAGGACCACGTGCTCCCAAAAGGCCTAACACCCTTGTGGTCCTTGCCTGATACCCCTCCACCTTTCCCACCTCCATGGGATCAGGGCTCAGCTGCCCCTCCTAATGCCCCTCGGCCATCCTAGGAGGAGATGGGCAAGGAGCCACTGCCGGATGGGTTGGGAGCCTGAGTGGGGGGATGTGGTCAGGAGCCCATAGCAAGTGAGTGGCAGAGCCTCCTGCCTCCCCCAGTCCCCACCTTCTCACCTGGGAGGGAGGGAAGGAGGGTGCGTGTCCCCAAGGAGCACTGACCTCAGAGGCTATTTTCACACTTGCCCTCTGAGGGCAGAACATGAAGTGGACAACTGGCCTCCTTTTCAGCTGTCGAAATGCCATCCCTGCCCCCAAGCACACCCCACCCTGGGCCCCTTCCCAGCAGATAGGGGGGCAAGGGGCACGGAGCAGCCCTGAGGTGTTGCCTTCAGGGCTTCACTGGACAGAGGGGCAGGGGCCTGGAGGGGCCTCAGTTTCCCCACTTGGAGAGTGGGCCTTGACTGTCTCCCATTGCAAGGGGCCTCCGGGGCACCCTGCCTGGGCTGTGAGAGCCCTCTTGGAGGCCCCGTCGGACTTCGGCCCAGAGGACAGGAGGGCAGCATGGAGGAGCTCAGGGGGGCCTGGGAGACCTGTGGGGGGGTGTGGCTGGCAAGACCTGTGCTGTGAGCTGCCCTTACAGCCCCCCTCCCGCCGTCTTGGGTTTCTAGGCAGAGATGTCTTGGCTAATTTGGGTGCCTATTTCTGGACACCTCAGCTGCCACTGGCTCCTTAAAAATAACCCACCTTGGGCAAGGGCCAGGACCGCCCCATCTCAAGGCAGCTGACAGGTGCTGGCCCCCCAGAGTGAGAGGTGGGCACAGCAGGGCAAGGCCCTGGGCTCTCACTGACCCTCCCACCCTACAGACAGAGGCCATGGGATGGGCGCGGGCGGCCAGGGGCAGAGCCCACCAGGGTTCGGAATGAGGGGCAGCGAGACCCCAGCTGTGGACGAGGCGGAGGCTGTAACTTGAGGGGGCAGCAGAGTCCCAGGAAGAGACTTGAGGATGAGAAAGCGCGGGCTGGCTTCCTGGAGGGTTAGCAGACATGTCTTGATTAATTTTGCACGGAGCTTAAATTGCTCTGGGAAAATTAACATTCTTGACAGAGCCTTTGGAAAACTGTTCCCACCTCAGCCATGCTATGTAAACGCATTTTTAGGTGATGAACTTGTGTTTTTCTTATACGAAGTTCCCTGGGGGGGGCCATAACTATTGTCTTCAAGTAAGCTGTAATATGTTGTCGTGAACTTTGTTTTTTAAAACCCCGGGCCAACATTCTGATGCAGCTGCTCGGAGCGTTCCCAGGCCCCGGCAGCCTCAGGCGTGTGCGGTGGCCAGCTCACAGAAAGACAGTCCCTGAGCGCGCTGGCCTGGCGCCGGCCGCACCTGGACACGTGCAGCCAGGCCCTGGCCCTGAGCTTCCCACGGACGTCGACAAATTCAAGGCATCCAAGGCCCTGGGAAAGCAGGCTGAGGGTGGAGGACAGGACTGGCGGGAAGGGGCCATCCACCCAGTTCTGGCAGTGTACGTGTGCCTGACACGGGCTCCGGGCTGGGGGCCACAGAGGAACAGCCCAGACCCTGTCCCCACGAGCTCGGGTTCAGTCTGCTGTCTGGTGGGGTAAGGGGGAGACAAGGAGATAGAACGGTTCACGCAGTCTTGTGATTTTGGAAGAGGGGTCTGCGGAGGGACACTCAGGGGACCCTGGGGCACCCCCAGAAGAGAACATGGGGTCCTCGCAGGAACCATCAGTCGGGGAAGGGAGCTTTGGGCTCACACCAGGAGGAGGGGCTCTCGTGGGGATGGTGGGACAGGAAAACAAGGGAAGGTCCAGTGTGCTTATCTGGGGGAGCTGGGCTCTATAATCTTGGGGCTCCCAGGGAGTGCCCTGCAGACCCAAGGGCAGAGACCACCAGGAGGCAAGTTTGAGTTAACATCAGCAGGACGGCTCCACTGTCCAGAGCAGCCTGGATGGGCCTCCCGGCCTGGACCAGCACCGTGCATTCTGGATGACCCTCCTCAGGGATCCTACAGCGAGGATGTCTGCCCTGGGTGGGGGTGGACGCCACGCTTCCAACATCCCATCCAGCTCCAGGATTCCAAGCTCCAGGCTGGAGCCAGGCCAGGAAGGGGGGCGGGTGGGATCCGAGGCTGGGGCCAGGAGGGCTGGGGGGGCCTGGGGCCTCAGAGGAGGCCCCAAGTGCAGGAGTGGGCCCGCCCAAGGCCAGAGAGTTGGCCCTCGACCCCTGTTCGTGATGTCCCTTCATACCCCCAGCTCTGAAAGCCCACCCCCTCAATGCCAGCACTTCCGGACAAAGGCAACACTCCTAACTCCTGTCTCGGTCTCCCCCCACCCCACAGAAACAGCCCACCCACCATGTCGGACGAGGAAGTGTGAGTACCAGTCTAGCCGCCCCCACCCTGCCTTGGGATCCCCGGACCTCGCCGTGTCTAGAGGCTAGAGGACCTGCTGGTGTTTGCTAGAAACCCAACGGGGAAAGCCCCCCTCACGTTTCCCTCCTCTCTCTCTCTCTCTCTCCCCTACAGTGAACACGTGGAGGGTAAGTGTCAGTGCTGTTTTCTCCCCTTGCATGCACCTCTAGACAGAGAATGCACACGTGGGGAAGGGTCGTCCGATCATGAACAGCACGGCTCTCCTTGGGAGCCCCTGGCCAGAAGCCCTTGATTTTCCACGTTCAGTGGTGGGCATCAGAGTGACTGCCCTCTGCAAAAGGGCTCCCCACTCCTGCCCCTGCAGCTCGGGCCCCATGTCCCTCAAAGACCACGTCCCTGAGACGTGGTCCCATCCAGACCTCCCTGGACCCTGCCCAGCTTGCGCTGCCGAGCTGTCTGGGGCAGTGTGGTCCTGGGGGAGCCATAGGGTTGGGGGGGTCTCCTGGTCCTGGCCACTCTCTGCCGTGCTCCCCTTGGTAGGACGTGGGCGTCTGGGGCCCCGAACCCTCCCCCAGGCAGCTATCATCGCCAGAGCCTCTTCCTCTCCCAGCACCCGGCAGCCTCCTTCGGGCCCGGGGACCCCTGGTCCCCATCTTGGACTGTTTGGGGATGGGCCTGCTGGCCCTGGTCCTCCTCCCCTTCCAGGTTGGCTCTGGAGGTGGCTGCTAACATGTTCCTCTCCTTTGTTCCCTCCCCTTGCAGAGCAGTACGAGGAGGAAGGTAACTCTGGCAGCCCCTGAAGTGTCCTTGCCCCCACCCGGACCTCCCCTCTTAACTCACCCCCTTCTCCTGCTCCATGCTCTCAGCCTCACCCCCATGGGGCCTCTCAGGGCCTCTGTGATCTCGTCAATTAACCTCCACCGTCGTCATCACTGCTAACTTCTCTTTAATCGATTAATATACGTTAATCGATTACCATGATAATCACTCATTTCCATTACACTCATCATCCTTCATTAATCCTTCATCCTCATCGTATCCGTGGTGTGTGAAGTTGGCTGGGATTGGTCGTTAAGACCCTCACCCTCATTAATATCAAGGGCCTGGTTGTGCAGGCCCTGCCCGTCTCTCTCTCTCTCCCTGTCTCTCTCTCTCTCTGTCTCTCCCTGTCTTTCTCTCTCTGTCTATCTCTCTGTGTCTCTCCTTGTCTCTCTGTTTCTCTCTCCCTATCTCTCTGTCTCTCTCTCGCTTTGTCTCTGTGTCTCTTTGTCTCTGTCTCTGTATCTTTGTCTTTATCTCTATCTCTATCATCTCTCTGTCTCTATCTCTGTCATCTCTCTGTCTCTCTCAGCACCTCTCAGCATCCCTCGGTCCCCCCTGCCCTTCCTGGCACGGTAACCTTCAGGGGTCACGTGGAGACCCCTCCCTCACTCCCGCCTGGCGTCCGTGGGGACCCCCGGGTGGTGCCTGGGCAGGCATGGAGGCAGGCGGAGTCGCTGCACCTGGCTGCCGTGAGCAGAGGGGTTCTCGTCGGAGCGCATCCAAGAGCCCTGGCTCCCACTCAACTGTGGGAACGGTTTCCCGCAGCCTCCCCGGGCAGGGCTCTCCTGTGGGGCGTTCTGGGTGCTATGTTTTGAAAATATTTTGAAAACACTTGCTACCCTAACAACGTGAGCAAAACAGTTCTTTTTCTACTGCAAAGGTGGAGAGACTCCTTTCTGAGCAGGAACAGAGGTCCTGGGGAGCCACCCCTTCCCTGGGGAAGGCGACGGGCGGGCGGGCAGGGTCCCCTGCCTCCATTTCCTCCAAGACCCTCATGGTGTCAGAGCTGCCCGGTCCCTGCAGACACTCTTCTTGGGGTTTTCTTGTGACACATGGATTTTGTCCCCTGTCCTCACTTCTGTCAACCGCCAAGCAAGACTTAGCTAGACCCTCCATGCAGATAGCACAGTGTAGGGGGCAGGTGGCATGGTCCCGAGGCCGACCTGGGTCTAGGCTTTGGTGGGGAGCCAAGGGGCTCAGAGTCCCCCAGGGCCTGGGAGGAGTTGGTTTGCAGAGGTGGGGCCGAGGCCCGAGGTCCCCCAGGCTCGCCACTTGGGGAAGGGGCGGTGGGCCGCTGCCAGCCAGCAATGCAGGACTGAGCTTCTCCCTGGCCCAGCCTGAAGCCCCCGCTGCACTTTCTCCCGAGAGGTCAGCCTGCTTTCCCTGCCACCCCAGGGAACCCCACTAACCACTCTCCTTGTTCCCTCTCTCCCTCCCACTCCCTGCTGCTCCCACCACAGAAGAGGCCCAGGAGGAAGGTGAGTGGGGTCCAGGACCCCGGCCCCAGAACCACCCTCCAGCCCTTCTGCCCCCACTGACCTTCACCCTCACAGTGACCCCAGAGTGCCCCCATCCCCTCTAAGGATGTGCAGTGTGCTCCTGGCCTAACTCTCTCCTCTCTCCTCCCTGCCACCCACACACCAGTCGCCCCTCCGCCTGCAGAAGTCCATGAAGAAGGTATGAGGACATAGGACTTCTGGTCCCCATGTGGGGCCCAGGCCTGGCTGGAGCCTGAGCAGGGGTGGGGAAGAGCGCGGGGAGGCAGCGAGGCACCAGCCAGCCAAAGGACCGCCACATGTGGCCCCAACATAACCCACTAACCATGGCCAATGCTTCACCAGAGCAGGGGGCCCCGGAGGGCTGGGCACTCCCCCGACATGGGCTGGGCCGCAGGTGGAGGTCATCCCCCTGCAGGAGAATAGGTCTGTGGGGGGTGCTGCTGGAGCAGATGTGTGACGTGGCCCAGCCTCTCCATGCCTGAGACTAGCCCTCTACCCCAGGGTGAGCCACTGAGAGCCCGTGGTGCCATCTGACCCCTCGGTCGGGTCAGGGCCCCGGGCCAAGCCTGGGGTGAACACAAGGCGGTGGAGGAAGAGCCCCCGCAGCCTGCACCCCGAGCCTGGGCCCATCAGCCCCCAGCAGAGGCCCTGGGCACTCCCTGGCCACCCCTCGAACCTGCTCCCATGGTGGGATCCAGGTGGCCGATGGCAGAGGGGTGAGGCCCATGCTCGGGTCAGTGCACAGAGCCACTGAGGGCTGACCCCCATTGTCCACACTCCCTCGAAGGCTGGAAAAGACCCAAAGCGGGGTGGGTGCCCTGTTCTCAGGGTGTAGGAAGTGGGGGGTCCTCTGGGCGTGCTTCCCTCTGCTACAGGCCCTGTCCATTTGGGCCTCTGGTGCCATTCCACCAGGCCGCGGCCCTGTGCGTGGGCCTCCAGGTCCTGGCAAGAGGCCATAAGCCCCTGCATGGAAGTCCTTCCGGGGGCCGGAGGACAGGCAGGAACAGGGGAGGTGGCAAGTAAGGCATGGACCCCGATGTCCCCATGACCAGAGCAGTGATGTCACCACAAAAGCAAGCTCTACCCTTGAGCCTCAGTTTCCCCGTCTGCGAGGCAGGGACAGGATTGGGGGGTGACAGTGCCCCAGGCCAACACTGACCATGTCTTGCTCGCTTCCCGCACATGCCTCACCCCTCGGCCTCGGCCACTGACCCTCCTGAGTGGTGACCTGGCTGTTTCCATTAACCTCGGATCCTTTCTCCTTTGACCTCTGACCCGTGGTATTGCCTCTTGTTCCATGGCCATCCTTAGTCCATGAAGTTCATGTACCAGGTATGTGCCATGACTTCAGTCCCGTGTGGGCGCATGTGCACACGTGGCCGTGTGAGGGTGTGAGCAGGAGCCCTGGCCAACACGGAAAAAGAGGGCTGTGTAACCGACTGACCGTGTGGTTCTGCTGGGCCTGCTGCCCTGCCCCCTCCCACCCCTGCCCTCCGTCTCGGCTCTGAGACTCACACCCGTCCTCTCTCTCCCCTCTCTCCACCTCGGTGCTGCTTCTGCAGAGGAAGTCCAAGAAGGTATGCTGGCACCCACCCCAAGGCCAGAGCCCCCCTGCCTCCTTCTCCTGTCCTCTCTTCCTCCCTCTCCCCCTCCCTGAGTGACTCTTGCCTCCATTTCTATGGGCTGGGGACCTGTGGCGACAGGTTAGACCTAGAGTGTTGGCTCAAGCAGGACTGGCTGATGGGGTGCAGGCTTCCTCCTGGCCCCCCTGACAGAGAGCATTCAGTGGTGGGGGGATGAGGCTCTTCCTGGGCCACCAGCAGGAAGGCGGGGGTGAGGGCCCCAAGGCCGAGTACAGAGCCTACTGTAGGGCCTGAGAGGTGCTGAGGTCGACGGGGACCCTCTGGATCCACCAGGGTGGGGTAGAGAAGAGCAGAGGAGGAGAGGCAGCTGCCCTGCCCCAGATAGCAAGCCAGAGAGGGGAAGTAAGGGGGAGTGAGGCTGAAGGGAGGGTGGAGGGACAAGGGGGGTGAAGCAGAAAGTCAGGCTGAGGCCCGAGATGGGGACGGCAGGGACCCAGAGCAGCCAGGGGCCTTGCGTGCAAGCGAGCAATCAGTCAGGTCCCAGCATCCCACCCATCGCCTGGGCCAGAGCCAGGCACACCCGGTCGTGAGGAGGCCCCCTGGGTGGGCCTGACCTCCCCACAGCAGGGCCGGCCGCCCCCGGGGTGGAGGTGAGGGAACCAGGTTCAAGTCAGGGGCCCAAGTGGGGAGCTCTCTCAGCCCCTCCACGCACATGACGCCTCGGTGGGGCTGCAGGGGGGGCCTCGCGGCTGGGCCTGGACCCTGAGCCGACCCCGAAGCTGTCTCCCCCTCCCTGGCTCGGAGAAGCCTCTGTAAGAGGAGAGACGTGCTGGACCAAGGGTTGGGCAGTGGATGCTGGGCTGCACAGGCAGCAGGCATCCAGGGAACAGGTCTGGAGGGGCTACAAGGTCACCAGGTCACCCTGGAACCAGCCCTGAGGCCAGCCAACAGAAAGACAGGGGGTGGGGAACTCGAGGCCGCCCCCCACTAGCCGGCTGCCTGGGGGGCTTTGCTGCATGGCCCCACTCCCCTCCAGCTCTCGGCCTTCCCCTCACCCTCCGCTCTCCCTGACCCCGTGGCCCCACCAGATGCTCATCCCACAAGGCCCCTGAAGAAGGCCAGGTCACCTCAGCAGCTCCTTTTATGCCCCCAACCCTTTCCTTCTGCCCCTGGGCCAGGTTCCTGCCCCCAAAGTGCCCCATCGTCCCTGAAGCTCACTGCTCCCACCCCAGGGCGTGGGGAGAGTGCGACCTCGGGCCCACCCGCGGAGTTGAGCAGTGCTGGGGGGTGCTGTCTGCGGGAGGTGATGGGTTCCTAAGCAACCGAGGGATCTAAAGCTGAGAGGATGCAGGGGAGAATGCGAGGCCGGAACCCCGCCCCCCGGCCAGGGCCTGGCCATCGAAGACATTTCCCCAGCCTTGGGTAGCCCTTGGGTTCAAAGAGGCTGAGGGCCACACATGTGGACGGCGTTGGCATCGTCATCAAAGGACCCAGAGCAGGGACTGCGGGACAGGAGGGTAAGGCCCCGCAAGACCAGCTGCAGACCCCAGGCTGTGTCCAGGCCAGCCAGTACGGCCCCAGGGCCTGGGGGGTAAGACGGTGCAAGGAAGCAGCCCCCGCATGAGGGCGGCCAGGTCATCTCGCGCAGGTCGGGGCCTGGTCTCGGGTCTGGAGACTCCAGCCTGGACCATGGGCCACCTGCCACAAGGCAGGCCCCAGAGGTGGCGGAGGCAAAGGTGGGAGGGGGCCCATCCAGCCTCTGAAAGAGAAACTTCTTAATTGTCAGAGGGCAGGCTCTATAGAAAGGTCAAGAGTCCCCCCCTCCACCACCCAGGGGTGATCCAGCCTAGGCTCCATGGAGCACTGCGGGGGGCTCGGCCTGAGGGCTCCCTCGCCTACCTCCAGTTCCAAGGCTCCAATGCTGGGAAGGGTCTCGGCTTTCCAGGTGGGCCCTGGCAGTCCCCAGTGGAAAGACTCTAAGAAGCCAGCCGCCAGTACCCACCGGCTGGCTGAGGTCCCTCCACTCACCTCCAGGCCTCCCAGGTGGGGTGGGCATCCCCCAGGCCCTCCTGCCCACAGCGAGGCTGCACCAGCTCCTCCAGCCCCTCCTCAGACAGCAATTCTCCGGCCTCCAGCTTGGGGCACTAACGGGGTCCAGGCCTACGCGCGCCCAGGGGAGGGGGCCCCAGGCACTGCCCCTGCGGCCCCATGCCTGCGCCCCCGCTCGCGCCCGCACGTTGCCCGCAGCCTCGCCGGCTTTTGTCTTGCATGTGCGCTTATGCCCCGAAGACGCCGCAGAGGAAGAGCGGGAGGATGAGGAAGGTAAGGGCCCGCAGGTCCCCCAGCCGCAGTGACCCTGAGGTGGACAGGACCCGCCCGCCCGGTGTCTGCCTTGCTGCCTCTCCATCCCTCTCCCTCAGCCCGCCTGTCCGTCTGTCTGTCCTCCTCCTCCTCTCCTGGCACCAGGGCCTCTGAGGGCCAGGCCTCGCTGCTTCGCACGGCAGTGGCGGCGGTGTGCGCTTCTGGGGCCTCACAGGCCCGTCCTGCTCCAAGCTTCTGCCGGCACAGAGAGAGGGCAGTCAGTGGGGGCGGCCAGCAGACCAGGAGCCCGGCAGGGGATGCTTCCTCCACTCCCCCCATCAGACCCTCTGCCTCCCTCCCTCGGCTCTCTCCATCCTCTCCCACCTCTCTCTCTCTCTCACCTTCCCTGTCCCCTGAGGAAGCATAGTTCACCCTTCCTTCCTCCTTCCCTTCACCCCTTCTCCCTCCCAGTGGCCTGGTCCCCACACCCCAAGCTCTCCTCCTCGGACTCCACAGGGACTTCCTCAGGCCCTGAGTGGGGACAAGACCCTCTGGTCCCTGCAGGGTCGGGTGGGGGGGTGGTGGGCTCGGCTGGAGAGGAGGGTGGCCCTACTGGCTGGAGCCCAGGAAGCCCCCAGCTGGGTGGCCCCCAGGGACACATCAGCAGGAGTGGGCACCCAGTTTCACCTGTTTCTCTCCCCCTCCCCATGTTGGCGCTGTGGTGACCAGAGGAGAAGCCGAGACCCAAGTGAGTGTGGGACCGGGGCAGGCTGGATGCCGGGGTGGGCTGTGGTGGGCACCGGGCTGTGAGGAGACCCTGGAGGAAAAGCCACGGTACACAGGTTGGATGGGGACCAAGGTCACCTGGGGAACCGACATCCCAAAGGGCTGAGACTGGGTGTCCCCATAGGAAGACATGCATTTGGGCTCAGTGGGAGATGACCTGGGACCCAGGCTCTGGAGAAATTGGCCGCTTCTTTGCTCCCCATTTTGGTTTTTGAAGTTCTAGATACCTGATGAGGGCACAGTAGGAGAATGAGATTACTGGGGGCAGCCAGTGCCTTCCCACACAAGGAGGGGCAGAGCTGGACTCTGGAGGTCCCGTTGGGTGTGGTTCTGCCCCAGGTTATCCAGTGTAGGCAAGGAGGACTTCCTGCAGGAGGAGGCTACAAGCCAAGGAAGGAAGGGGTACAGGGAGCTGGGGAGACATGGCAGAGAGAGGGAGGCACCACAGAGCTCCCTCTTGCCCTCTCTGGCCCCCGCCAGGCCCAGCTGTGCTCTGGGAGTCTCCCAGGGCCCTCCACATGAAACAGGCGTGAAAGTGGTGTGGGCGGGAGGCAGAATCCACTTCAGAACACCACCAGAACAACATCCACCATCCACACCTTTCACTGCTCCAGGGCCTCAGAGCCCCTCTGGGGAACCAGCATCCTTGTGAGGAAGATCTTTCTCTCATTTTACCTACTTGTGAGCATTTCAGAGATTTTTTTTTTTAATCCAGGTATTCCGACTTTTCTATTTTTGATAAGTACACACAAGCCCCTGCCTGTGATTCACCGCTCATCCCTCTGAGTGTTCTCACCTGCGCCTTGCTCTGCGCGGGCTGGAATGCTTGTGCGTGCGAGCGCTCGCCCAGCCCTCGCTCCCGCTCCGGGAGCTGTTCCGGCTTCTCCAAGGGAGCCTGAAAACGTGGAAGGGTGCAGCCAGCATACTTCCATCCGTTTACTTTATATTTAGGCAATTTTAAATAAAGCTACCCCAGCACAAGATATTTTCTAGTTAAAAAAAAAAAGTTTGTGTTTTTGTTGTGAAAATAAAACACCTCATTAAAGAAAATTTGGAAAATATGTAAAAGTCCAATAAAGAAAAAAAATCATCTATAACTCTCCCCCCAAGCCAGGCAGACTGTGGGGAGGAGGAGAAAGAAATAAAAAGGCTCATTTCTTCCTACTCATTTTCCATGCATCGGGCTCGGAAAAACAGATTTAAGCTCCGAGCTGTTTTTCAAACATCATACTGTCTATACAACCTTGAATTCTGCTTTTTTAAAATTTAGCACTATTCGTAAGTATTTTTCCATGTTTTTACATAGTCTTCTTAAATATTTTGAATGGCCACATAATATTCCATCCATTGGACAAACCATCATTTTCCTAACCATTCCTCTGGTGCAGGACGTTAAGGCTTGCCTCAATATTTTACTATCATAAATAACGCTGGGTGGAAAGCATTTTCTGTCTTTGGGGTTATTTCCCTAGGCCACATTCCCAGAACTGGAATTACTGGGTCAAAGAGTATGAACGTTCTGAAGGCTTTTGACATCCACTGCCAAATTGCTCTCCGCGCAGGCCCTGCCAGCGCGGTCTCCTACGTGGACGTGAGCTGGTCCGCGCCCCACACCCGCTCTACCCGCGGACAGCGACCGGCTTTCACATCGCAGCCACTGATGGATGGGAAAAGGCCTCTTAGGGCTGTTTTCCTTTGCATTCCTCCGATTACTCCAGGGGAAGCTTCCTGTGCGTGTGTGAACCGCTCCTCTTTCTTCTTGGAGAATTGGTAGCTTATGCCCTCTGCCCATTTATCTCACGGAGGAGTCTCTCTGTTTTCTTAATCACCGGTTTGCATAAGGATATAAGTCTTCTCTGTATTTGCTGAAAATATTTTTCTAGTCGGGGTTTTCTCCCCCCCTTTCAATTTTTGCCTTTCTTCACATACATAAGTTTTTCATTTGCGTGGAGTCATCTGGCCATCTTTCCCTTCGCGGGACCCTCAGAGCTTAGAAAATCCTTCCCTGCTCCAGCATTTTGATTGATATTCAGTCCCGCTCTCTTTTCGGGCTTGTTTTAAAAAACTGTTGTTGTTGTTTTCACTCCTGGCTCCATCTGGAATGTATTGGGGGGGAGGGCTCAGGACTGATGGCTGGTTACAGCTGGATTCGGGGGGGACACCACGTTTCTTCTTCAAACTGCTTTCTGCCCAGCCTCCTCCTTCCTTTGGGTCCCCAGAAAGAAAGGCTAAAGAGGGGCCAGAGAAACGCAAAGGGTCAATGCCCCCCAGGAGGGTCTGCGGTGACCACCCTGCCTTCTGGTCTCACCTAGCTGCAGTTGCTTATTTGCTTGAGAAAGAAACCGACGGTGCCCTTCCTGGACAGATGGGGTGAAACAGCCCTTGCAATGTCCAGAAGTCGGCAAAACAGAGGGACACAAAGAGGTTGAAACCGTCTCAAAGGGGTCAAGCCCCTCTGGGGAGAGTGGGTTATACATCAGATAGGAACAAAGGCCGGGCAATGTGTCCTGAGCCAGGTGCCAGGGTGAGAGGGCGGGAGGGCCAGCCTGGGGCCAGGCCAAGTTGGGTCAGGCCAACTCTCCTGGTGGGGCCTCCACTTATCCCTGCTCATGAGCCTCTCTCTCTTTTTCAGACTCACCGCTCCTAAGATCCCGGAAGGGGAGAAAGTAGACTTTGATGTAAGTTTATGGGACCCACCAACATAGTTGCCTTCCAACCCCCAACCTTCAGGCTCCAGGCCTAAGAAGGTCATCTCCTCTCAAGCAGCCAGAGCTAGGGCTTCCTGGTTCCAGACAATTTTCCTTTAATTCATTCTTAGACCAGAGGAAATTCCTCCAGTAATAAACATCTCTCTTCCTTCCTCCCCACATCCATCCTTCTATCCATCATCTTTCCATTCATTTAGTCACCAGTTCATGCACTCATCCATCTATCCATTTCTGCACCCATTCATCATCCATCCACCCACACATCCATCTCCCCATCCATCCATCCACTCACCCACCCACTCCATCTCTCCATCCATCCTTCCATCCACCTACCCATCTAACTCACCCACTCACCCATCCATCCTCTTATCCACACATCCATGCATCCACCCATCTGTCCTGTCCTCCATCCACCCATATCATCCATCCATCCATTCATTCATCCTTCCATCGATCTATCCACCCACTCACTCTCCTATCCACATATCCATCCACTCTCCATCCATCCATTCATCTATCCACCCACTCACCTACCCATCCACACATCCATTCTTTCCTCCATCCATCATATTTCCCTTCCTCTGTCTGTCCCTCCACCCACTCATTCATCCATCCATCACCAACCATCCATCTGCCCACTCATCCTTCCATCCACCCATCCATCCTTCTCATTATCTATCCTTTTATCCAGCCACCCATCCATCTATCCATCTACCCACCCATCCATCTGTGTATCCAACAAATTATCTCGCTCACCAGTTTCCTGTCTGCCTGGCCCATGTAGGGCATCTCTGAGGAGATGACAGGGCCAAGTCAGAGCTAGTGCATCCCAGGGGTACTGATGACCTCAAAGCTGAGCAGGGCCTGGACTCACCCACAGGGTTGAGGGGGGGCACTGTTCCTGTCCTGTGGCTCAGGGATCAGGCAGCCTCTGGGCCCCCAGAAGGACAGTGGCCATGGGGACATGGCGAGGACAAAATGTACCTGCCACTCTCGGCTTTCATGGTGGCCTGAAGAGTCAGGGCCTCTCTGCCAGAGCGCAGGAAGGAGCTGGCTGCCACGAGGTGGGCCAGGCAGGGCCGAGGTGCAAGAGGAGGAGAGGGAACTGACGGCTCCCCCGCCCACAGGACATCCAGAAGAAGCGCCAGAACAAAGACCTCTTGGAGCTGCAGGCTCTCATCGACAGCCACTTTGAAGCCCGGAAAAAGGAGGAAGAGGAGCTGGTCGCCCTCAAGGAGAGAATCGTGAGTCCCGGCAGTTCTGGGAGGGAGTAGGGGCCGGTGGTCGCTCTCAGGGGGGGCCGGTGTTGGCAAGGCTGGGCTGACCCGCTTCTCTGGCCACAGGAGAAGCGCCGTGCGGAGAGAGCTGAACAGCAGAGGATCCGGGCCGAGAAGGAGAGGGAGCGTCAGAACAGACTGGCGGTGAGGCCGGGCGCCCCTTCCCCACTCTGGACCCTGAGCCGATGACCACGGGCCCAGAGAAATGCCAGGGTCTCTGACCTTCCTTCTCCTGAGCTTCCCCCCAACATTAGCCAGTGACCAGAGCCACTGACTAAGTTCCCCATGCCCCACAGAACCCCTGCAAGAGGGCAGACCCTGACCAGGACCCAGGGCTTCCGGAAAGTTCCGAGCCCAGGGCAGGTCCTTGAAGCCTGCCCACAGAGGGCAGCCCTGGCCCATCCCTGAAGTCTTGGGGATGGGGTCTCCACAGGAGGAGAAAGCTCGGAGGGAGGAGGAGGAGGCTAAGAGGAGAGCTGAGGATGACTTGAAGAAGAAGAAGGCTCTGTCCTCCATGGGCGCCAACTACAGCAGCTACCTGGCCAAGGTGCGTGCAGGTGCTCAGAGCCCAGGGGGCAGCCTGGCCTCTGTCGGCACCCCCAGCCACCCGCCTTCAGGCTGGACGGTGCAATGGCTCCCTCCTGAGGCCAGGCCCCTCTGCTGTGTCCCCTCAGGCTGACCAGAAGAGAGGCAAGAAGCAGACAGCCCGGGAGATGAAGAAGAAGATTCTGGCTGAGAGACGCAAGCCACTCAACATCGACCATCTCGGCGACGACAAGCTGAGGTGAGGGAGGGCATCAGCGCTGGAGGAGGGGGTGGCAGTGGGGTGGCCCAACGGCACTGCCAGAGCCTTCTTGGATCCGCCAGCCTCACGGGTCTCAGTGGTGGCTGGAGGAGCAGAGCGTGTAGCGGGTGGCCTGGGCCCTGCCATCCAGGGCTTATCTGGCCATGGCTCATCTTTGCCACCTTCCCAGGGACAAGGCCAAGGAGCTCTGGGAGACTCTGTACCAGCTGGAGACCGACAAGTTCGAGTATGGGGAGAAACTAAAGCGCCAGAAATATGATGTGAGTGGAGACCCCTCCAGCCTTGGGCCCCACGGCTCACCCACCCGCTGGGGCAGCCGCCTCCCCGAGTCCCACGGACCTGGCCCCTACTAGGAAGCCCACGCAGGCTGTCCCCACCGACCCCCAGCTGAGGCCACGTTCCTGCTGGGGACCTCCGGGCCGGCCTCTGCCCCCGAGCCATCAGCCCCCTGCTCTGGGGGCCGGCAAGAGGGAGCAGCAGGTTGGAGTGGCTGTGGGGTCCAGTTTCTGAATCGCCTGAGGTTTGTAGAAAGTCCCCAGTGTCACGAGCTCACCCCAGGTGGCACTAAGCTCCTCTGGCCCTCAGGTGTCCTCCCCTCACAGCCTTCTCTGCAAATCCACGTCCCGGCCATCCCAGCCCAAGACATCTGCTTCCCTGGAGCCCCTGGGGGCCCACACCTGGGTCCCTGGGCCTCACCTCCTCACTCACACCCAGCAGCTGGCAAAGGGGCTGGGCTCCTCCAGGTCTGCGACTGTGCCACCTGGAGTTGCCTGAGAGGGACTCACAACTCCAAACAGCAGCCTGTGCAGATCCTGTCCCCTCAGGGCCCACATGGGGTGCCAGCCCTGGTGACCAACCTGCTCCATGCAAATGCAGACACGTCCAGCCTCTCCATCAAAGGCACGGTTCCCACCCCTCACTCTCCTCCAGCGTCCCCGGGGGAAGACAGCTCACACTCGCAGGGCCTCTCCCACGGCCGTCCCTGCCAGCCACCGAGACAGAGGGTGCCGGGTGACCAGTACCCACACCTGGGGGAATCCTGGCTCCTTTTCAGGAGCCCTATGCCCTTAGTCAGGTCGCCTGGTCCCTCCATGCCTCAGTTTCCTCATCTCTAACAGAAAGAAGACCATCATACCCCTTCCAGGGCTGCTCCCCGGAGCACATGCATCCCTGCAGGCCAGTAGGGTCCAGGCGTGGGGCCACTGCTACTCTCTCGATGCTCGCCTGGGAGGGCTGGCCTGCAGAAATGGGCTTCACCCACGCAGAGCCCAGACTGGCCCCACTCATGTCCACAGAGCTGAGGCAGGGGCCCACTGTCTCCTGACACACCCGTGCACAGCCCGGCCCCATAACCGTCTTGGTCTCTCTAGATCATGAACATGCGGGCCAGAGTGGAGATGCTAGCCAAGTTGTAAGTAGCCAGGGGCAGCCCTGGCCAGGCTCGTGGGGTGCGATGCACGGTGAGCCTCTCGCATGGCAAAAACCTGGGCCGTCGAGGATGTCAGCAGCAGCGGGCACGGACATGACAGGGGCCTCCCACCGCCTCCCTCCTGCCTGCAGCCCTGCAGCTCCGGAGGCCAACCTGCCATCCTTGTGGGCAGGTGGGGAAGGGCCTTGCCTTCCCCGAGCGTCTCCCCTCACCAGGCAGTCAGGAGGAGGGAGCAGGTGGGCCGAGGAGCAAGAGGTCGCATAGCTCTGAGCTCAGTGGCCATCAGAGAGTCAGGGGCTCTGTTTGCCAGCCTCACCTCCCGCCCCGTGCCCCCTGCCCACATCCTGCTGCGGGCTGGAAGGTAAGTGGCCGGCTCTGGAGCTGCTGTGTGTCATGGCCCAGGTCTCCAGTGCAGGCCACCAAGAGTAAGTCAGAGTCATGAGCCAAAAGGGACGGTGTCCTCCCACCAGAGGAGCCAGGACACAGTAAGGGAGTGAGTGGCCCTGGCGTGGCACTGGGGCCTGCGAGGGCCGCCGGAGGAGCCTACGGTGAAGGGCGAGCCAGCCCGTGCCCCACCCGGCCCTGCGCAGACCCGTCGCGGTAAGCCGTCTGTGTCGTTTACAGATCATCAACCTCAGGAGTCGCATCGACCAGGCCCAGAAGCAGTGAGTAGCCCTGCTCGCCCCCACTCTGCGCCGGGCACATGGCCCCGGACCTGGCAATTCTAGCCAGTCCCAGTGGTGGCCGGCCCTCAGAAGAGCAGTAACAAGACTAATGGGCCAGCCACTCCAGCCAGCATGTTGGGCCCTGTGCCCCGAGCCCTGCAGACTCCTTTCTCCCCCCACGCCAGAGCCCAGGAGGACGGCAGATTGGGGGGAGGCCCAGCAGGAGGCCCCAGGGTGTGGGTGGTTCTGGGCGGCCTTCAGAGAGGCCTGGCAAAGCCAGACTGGGCTCCTGGACCTCCAGCAGTGTGTCACCACAAAGCTGATCTGGGACAGGGAATCAGGAGGCCTGGGCTTTGTCACCAGCCCCTCTGCGACCCTGGCCAGAATCACTGGCTCCTCGGGGTGATGATCCCTGTGTCTGTAAGATTACCCCCCGGGGTCCGAGGGACCCATGGCAGCAGCTGCTGGGAAAGGCGTGGAGCAGCCTGTGCCTCGGCTGCCCCAAGGGTGGGCCCGGCTCCACCCGCCCTGGGATTTGTCTGCCAGCGTGGCCGGTTGCTGAGCCAGCCCACACTCCAAGGAGCACAGGGTCCCCAGGACCGCTTGCAGTTGGGGAGTTTAATGGGATTTTTCTCCCTTTTCTACTGGCCTCTGCCTCCTTGCTGCTCCCAGGCTCCTCCTCCCTTGGGGGGCGCTGGTGGGGGTGAAGCCCCCTCCCCCCTGGGCTCTGCTGTGCAGGGCCGGGGGTGCTGCAGGCCCCTTTGAGAGTGGGCCATTCGGCAAGGTGTGCGTGTGTGCGAGTGTGTGCTTGTGCATGCGGGTATGTGCATGTGCATGCATGTCAGGGTCCTCAGGCTGGCTCCTGAAGAAGGACACGGCCACGCAAATGGCCGCCAGCACGAGGTCTTCTACGGAAGCCAGCCTTGGAACCGTATGGCCTTCTCCAGCCAGAAGTTGTCCAAAAGGGGCCGATCTCCGGGGCTCACACGCTCTGGTCCTCCCTGCCACCTCTCCCTAACCCGGCACCCAGTTCCCTCCTGGCCCACTGGCATGCAAAGGGCCTCAGACAGACAGGGCAGGCTCCCGAGGACCACCGCCCCTTGGGGTAGTGACCTCCCCACCTCAGGTCCAGCTCTAATCAGTGGCCAAGAGGCCGAGACTCCAGAATGAGACAGAGGCCTCCCAGGTCCCGAGTCCATCAGGTGGGGACTGCCGGCCTGGAGTGAAGGACCAGAATGCCCACTGGCCCCGGCCTCTGCCACCCCAGGAGGCTGTGACCTGGGGGGGCACAAACTCTCACCAGGCCGAAGTAACTGCGAAGATGTTAGCCATCTGCAGAGACAGCTTCCCGGGCGGCTAGGGGTCTGCCCAAGACGGGTCCCTTCAGTCTGCTGCTGCCTGCACCCAGAGCCCCTCGGGCTGGGAAGGGAGGGAGGGGAAGGGCGTCCAGGCTGGCTGTGTCAGCCCCTCTCTAACCCCACTAACTGCCTCGGCATAAGGCCGCCCAGGCCCAGTCAGGCTAAGTACAGGTGAGTGGCCATGATTGGACTGGAGCTGGGAATGTGTGCCGGGGGCTTCCGGGTGGGTGGGCAGAGCTCTTAGGGCTGGGGGTCTGCCAGGGGTTGGACAGGGGCTCTATCGGGGTCCTGACACTCAAGACCGATTTGCTTCCCACTTACAGCAGCAAGAAGGCTGGTGCCCCGGCCAAGGGCAAGGTCGGCGGGCGCTGGAAGTAAAGCAGTGCAGGAGGCCTCTCTGGGCAGAGACCCTCGGCCCATGCAGCCCACATGGCGGCTTCTGGACCCCAGGCCTGAGGGCGGAGGGCCCCCCCCTCAGCATCCCCCTCATCTCTGTCCTCGCTGCCCCCATCCCCTGGGGTCTGTGAATAAAGCTAGCAGACTCCCCTCCACCAGGTGTGCCTGGCTCATGGATGGGGGCCCTGGGGGAGGACTGGAGGAGGGGGCTGAGCCGGGCAGGGTGGGATGGCTGAAGCATCGGGGTGGTTGCCCTGCACCTCTGGGGCCCGAGGGACACTGGGTGTTCATCTTAGGGGTCAGCGCGGGAGATGACCTGGCTATGGCCCGACTGTGCCATCCATGGGCACTGGGCCCAGGACCCCCACCGCGTCTCTGTCAGCGGCTTCCACTTCTGCCCACGGACTTTCACCCCTAGAAGCCCCTCTGTCCTCCACCCTACAAGCCCACACACCCCTCTGATCTTCAAGAGACGTGCTGCCGCCCAGACCAGCTCTGACGCTGGCGTGGGGAGAAGAGCTCTGCTTTGGAGGGGGTCTGGGAGGAGGGGCACGGCGCACAACATGAGATTTTATGGATGCCCCCCAGAAATGTGGGGGCCGAAGCAGAGTCTAGGGGTGCACACAGCCTGAGCTCTCCTTGAGGGCCTCACGCTCCAGAGGGGAGAAGCAGAAGGGCCCATCTCGACAGGAGCAGAGCCAGCGAACACAGAGTTCTTTCTATATTATGAGAGAACAGTGCCCAACTGTGTAATAAACTTGAAAATCCTGACCAAATAGAATTATGGAAAATATAAATCACAAAAATTGGATCAAGACATAGAGCCTTGCACAGCAAAGTATTCAGGGAGGAAGCTCTCGGAGTCCAGAACCACCCCTCCAGGAAGGCTCTACAGAGCAGAGGAAAACAGGCAGCGTCCCCATTCGGTCTGCCGTGGGGGGCCAGCACCCCAACAACAAAGTCGAGCGCCAGAGAGCACGTGCACATGTGTGCGCACCCCAATGCACACACACATATCCCTGCCCCTCATGAATACAACTTCCTGTGTGTGTGGGCTCACCCCCAACATACATCCATAAATACACAAGCACACACGTCCCCCCACCCACATGCACACACGTGCCCCCCACATGCATGCACCCCCACCCCACACAATAGACCTGTACGCAGTAGGTGTAGACACATCGGTTGTGCTCCATCAGCTTCATTGCAGTAACGCAAGGACAAGCACCTGCATGCAACAGATGGTGGGACCCAGGGACCCCGTGTCACCTTCCCGCCACATCACCTTGTTCTCACAAGGCCACTGAGCAGCACAGAGTCCACAAAAGCAGAAGGTGCCCTGGGCAGGGAGACAGTCAGCACGTATAGGTGGGAGATGCAGTTCACCAGGAGTTGTGCAGATTCAGAATGATGTGAGTTTAACAGCACAGGGAAAACACAGACGCACATGCACGTTTAGAAATGTGAAATCACAAGCTGACGTTCACGGATCAGAGAGGAAATCGGACAGAAAGTAGGAAGCACTTCAGAGCTGAACGCCAACCCAGGGTCCCTAAGGAGACCGCAGAGCACAGCTCCTCATCACCCACGGGTCGGGAGGCTCAGGGGCCATAGGGCAGATGTGTGAGATTCGGACAAAACAATTAGGCTTGACAGAGGGACGTTGATGGACCGCTGTTCCTCTAAACTAGAGCGTGCGTGAAACGTTTCCAGAAGCTAACCCTCGACTAGGACACGGAGCAAGTTGTCAGCTCTAACGAGAGCATCCCAGCCGACCGTCAGCCCTCTGCAGCCAAGGCAGAACCTGAGGGAGGGAGCTCACAGGCACACGTTTAGAAACGCGAAATCACAAGCTGACATTCATGGATCAGAGAGGAAATCAGACAGAAAGTAGGAAGCGCTTCAGAGCTGAACGCCAACCCAGGGTCCCTAAGGAAACTGGGTGCGGCTGAGACCGGACTTGCAGGGAAATATGGGGCCTGAAGGCTTGTGTTAGGAAAGAGGGGAAAGACCTAACATTTTAATAAGCTAAAGTTCGAATTAAAGAAACTAGAAAATGAACCAAAAACTAAAACCAAGGAAAAGAGAAACATGGAAATAACAAAAAAAAAAAAGAGAAGATAAAATAAAAAACAAAACGAATGGAGAAGAGCCACAAAGTCAAAAACCAGTTCTGCAAAAGGAGTAATAAAACAGTCCAACCGCTGGGATGATAATTACATAGAAAGAGGAGAAGATGCAAAGAAACAACATTAGGAGGGAAAGAGGAACATCAGGACAGACGTTGCAGAGAGGAAATCAGCTGTAGAAGAACACCATAACCAACTTTAGGACAATATATTTGAAAACTAGATAAAATGGCCAATTTCCAGGGGAAATATGACTTTCTGTATTGACTCAAGTTGAAGTACGAAACTTGAACAGACTGATTTCATTTTAAAGACATTGAACCAGGAGTTAAATATCTCCCCACCAAAAAACATGGAGAATTCTTAAAAATTACATCCTGACCAAGGGGCTCCTCTTGAATGAGAAGACAGTTCTACATTAGAAAACTGAGTGACGTGGCAATTCACACATCAGAAACACTTTAAAGTCATCAACATTGACCATTGTGGAGCCATTTTACAGTGAAGTCAGAGCTGTCTTTCCAGAGAAACCGCCCTGCTGTCTTGAACCTTCGGCTGGGCCAAACCCTTGGACTGGGCCAAAACGGCAATTGTTTTACAAGCAATTGTTTGAGAAATCAGCAGGGGAACGGACATCCTGAACACGAAGACAGAGGATTGTGGGCTTTCTGAAGATAGAATCAATAGTCAATCAACGTTTGGCCAAGACCAGCTCTCTGCCTCCAACTCCAATTAACATTCTTTGTGACACAACCTCCCTTCTTTGACTTTAAAACTCTGACTTTTCCTCCCTAGCGGGCCACTATTTGGGTTTCTCCCTGAATTTGAGTCTCCTGAATTACAATGTTAATTGCCCAAATGAATATCTGCTGTTTAAATTGCAGTGATTTTGTTCATCGGTCAACAAAGGCTAGAAAAAAAAAAATTGAATGAAACACAACACAGTTCATGAAGAAAATTGTAGTGAATTAAGAATAGAAGATAAGTTTCTCAACCCAAGGAAGGCATCTTCCAAAAACCAACAGCAAACATCATCCTTAATAGTGAAACGTGGGAAGACTGCCTCTAAAATCCAGAGCGAAGCGAACGCCAGCCTCCCAGGTTCTGCTGCATTGTCCACGTGTTCGGGCCAGAGCTGTAGGACAGGAAAAGGAACTTTTTAAAAAGGAGACTAGTAGACAAGAAAAAAATTATCTTTTCTTGCCTATTAGTCTCTTAAAAAAATACGATTTTTCACAACCAAAGAATCGTCTAAAAAGAAACCCAAGAAAAGCTGCAATTCTAAATTACTAAAACTAAGATGAGTTCAGTTCGGGTGCACGTGACCACAAGATAGAAAAATAGAGAGTTAGGAGACAATGTTTAAAGATGCCGTTTACAACAGAAATGTAAAAAACATACGATAAGAATAAATCTAACAAAAGACGTGCAAGACAATTACAGAGAGAGTCAAATAACTTTGTTGAAAAGTATTGCAGAAGACCACCATGAGCGGAGATGGAGACTGTGCTCCACAAGAGGAAGACGCAACGTCTTTAAAGTGTTAATTCTCCCTACAGGAATCTATGAATTCAGGGCAACTCCACCCCGTCCCAACAGGGAGTCTTGTGTAAATTGACACTGATTCTAAAATTCATATGGAAAGAAATGGGGCCCGAATAACCAGAACAGTGTGAAGAGAAGACTACAGCTGAAGATTTGTGCTACCAGCCGGCCGGTGCGGGCGCGGGGGGCTCCCTACGGCGCTGGGGTGTTGGCTCCCCGACAGACACAGAAAACAGTCCCACACGCCCAGGGGGACTTAAGTGGCAGGTGTGGTGCCAGGAATAACAGGGAAAAGATGGTGCTGAACCAGCCACAAGGCCATTGAGAACAAATAAAATGAAAGCACTGTCCTCCTCCACACCAGCCACCAAAAATCAATTCCTAGTCATGTAAGGACTAAATATGAAAAAGAAAACATTCAAAATCTTAGGAGAAAACCTTAGGAGAGTGTCAGAAAGCTCTCCCAACAGGGAAAATTTCTTAAACAAGGTGTAGCACCCACAAACCATAAAACAAAAGATAGATAAATTCAACAAGAATAAAGTAAAAAAACAAAACAAAACAAAAAACACAAATTCTCTGCATCAAAACACACCATACATAAGCCAAGTGAAAATGCAGGCCATCTCTTAGGAGGAAATATTTGTAACACACATCACTGATGAAGAATTAGTATTCTGTGTGTAAGGAACTTTAGGATACCATTAGGAAAAAGACAAGCAATTGAACAGAAAAGTGGGCCAAGGGAATGAGTATGCGGTGTGCAGAGAGCGAGCCTGAACGGGTTGGTAAATGGACGGGAGGTGTAAGTGAAAGTCAGATTTAAACTAGCCCAAGACGCCAGTTCACACAAATTAGTTAGGGAAGGAAAGGCTCATCTTTACAGAATGCCAGCGAATAAATGCAGATGAGAGGATAGAATTAGACAAGCCCCATTTGCAAGCATTAATGTCACAGTGGGCTGAGGCAGGGGGCATCAGTGGCTGCTAAAATGACTGGGTGAAAAGTTAATGGAGGCTGACTATTCAGTCTCCCAGCAACCCTGGCCCATTACTTACAAAGCGCAAAGGTTTTTTGAAAATAGAGAAACTGGTGGACAGAGAGAGAGTGCCTTAACCAAGTGACCAATCTCAGCATCACCAATAGCAAGATGACAGACACCATGCGCCTGCCCATGAATCCCATGAGGACACAGCATCACCAAAGTGATATTCTGGCCCAAAAGTTCAACCTGAATCTAATTGTGAAGAGACCGTCCAACAAATCCCATTGCAGGACCCTCTTCAAGACAACTGGCTGGACTCTTCAAGGCTGTCACTGCCCTAAAAGCCAAAAAAACAGTGGTGGGCTGCTTCAAGTTAAAAGAGACCACAGGGGATGACAATTAAATACAATGCAGCAGCCTTGATTGCAGATCAGATCAGAAACAAAAGGGATGAGGCACATTTTGAAACCTTGTATCGGGGGGTCATGGAGGA